CATGCATTTCCAAACATTTGGACTACCTATGCTGCAAATGTATTATCTTTTCAATTTACACACGGCATCTATTGCACGTCTGTCCGTCCTGGGAGAGGGATCCCTCCTCTGTTGCTCTCCCTGAGGTTTCTCCCATTTTCCCCTTTAAACTGTGGGTTTTTCTCCGGAAGTTTTTCCTTGTACGATGTGAGGGTCTAAGGACAGAGGGTGTCGTATTGTCATACTGATATTCTGTACAAACTGTGAAGTCCACTGAGACAAATGTAAAATGTGTGATATTGGGCTATATAAATAAACATTGATTGATTGATTGAATGATGAATAAACAGTGAGGAGGGGTATGAAGGAGCGCTATTGAAGGTCACTCCAAGGTGCGTCACAGAGGGGATATTATTTTTTAGGGAGCCCAGAATATCAACCTTAGCATTTTCATACACACTGTTAATACTGCTCACAGGCTGCTGTGTATGCTAGTGTATTCATACACACTGTTAATACTGCTCACAGGCTGCTGTGTATAGTGTATTCATACATACAATAAATTAAAACAAAAAGGTGGCTTAGTAAACTTTATTTTAATTTTTTAGTACATATAACATAGGTATTAATGAGATCATCTATTAATTATGTTTGTCTAACTGCTACACATGTATTTATACATAAATGTAGATATTTATGAACATCTAAATATCATTGTTAAAGGTTTTAAGATATAAATAATCACATCATGGGGTCATTAAAGTTTCAAACAGGTTAATGTAAGGTAGGCCTACTATAACATGAAAACATGATTTAAAAAACTAATTTCTGAATCTGACATTAGCCTGTAGTTTGGTATGTTCTTTGAACATCAGATTAAAACATTTCTTAAAAAAATTATTAGAACCTGTAGGTAACGTTAGCCAAAGTTGTGAGAACATTCCCCGCTAGCTGGGATGGCAGTTATTTTATAAAACATTTAATTTTTTATAGAACATGCTTATTGTTTATTATGTTATAAAGAAGTAAAAGTACAGTATGCAAATACAATATATGTACCACACGAATAAAGACAATTAGTTCATTCAGTTTGCTCTGTCTATTGCATTCCAAACAAAGTAGAAAAAGAGCCCTTGCATCATGAAAACCTCTCGCTGCATTTGTATGAACCCTGGAGAAGTAAAGGCACTGAACGGGTTAATTAGTTCACAAGCTCCTGCGCAACAGACACATTGCTGTCTAAATTTAAGATCCTCAGCAGAAAGCCGGAGGAAGTCAGGATGATTGTTGTTCCGCAGCCGAAGGATACATTTCATCCTTCTGAATGCGTTGCCTATTAACAACTTTTTTTCTAGTCAATAACTGTGGTTAAACTGCCAGACATCAGGAAAAAAGGGACTTAGTGTTCCCTCTAAGTTCCAGTAATTGTGGGTGTAAATCAGCTGGATCCATCATCTCCGGATGAGCCTGCAGTAAAAGGTGGGGCTGATTCATCATGTCCATGTGTGCTCTCTCTATCTGGTATTTTACTGACTGTGGTAGATCTTCCCTAATTGCACACTAAAGATATCTCATGATAATGTTTATATGATGCGGTAATTGTGATTTAGCAGTAAATCAGCGGGACTCCATGCATGTAGTTTCACCACGAGTGCTAACACTTTTATGAGTTACATTAAAAAAAAAGGTTTTCACACTCTTCATCCATCAATATCCAAACTTTTTTTATCAAATCCAAACAGATCATCATGTCAAGCTCCACTGACACGCTACGGTTTTGCTTCCCCACGCACGGTGACTCTATCCTCATCAAAATCAACTCTCTAAGAGAGGAGCAGCGCTTCTGTGACATCACACTCCTCCTTGGTCGTCCACAAGGCCCCACTGTCCCACTCCACTTCCACGGTCACAGAGCGGTGCTGGCTGCCTCCTCAAACTTCTTACATGACCAATTCCTGCTCCACGAAGGCCGGGAAATGAGTTTGGGTGTGGTGTCCAGTGTGGAGGTTGGCAAGAGACTTCTCCTGTGCTGCTACACCGGGCTATTAGAGGTGCAATATAATCTACTGAACTACATACTAAATACAGTGTCAGAATGAACAATATCAAGAGTAACGATACCAAAATGGAAATAAGAAACAAACATATTGATAACAACAAAAGAGTGGGTGTGAATGTTTGTGATATGAAAGTAAAAGATGAATAAGATGACTCAGTATTGCAGTTCTGTTTTTCTTCAGTATTACTTTACTGTTTCCTTTGTTTATCAAATATCTCTTACTTTAGGTCCCTGTGAGAGAGCTGGTGAGCTACTTGACTGCTGCCAGTGTGCTCCAGATGAGCCAGGTGGTGGAGAAGTGCTCCCAGGCCATCTCCCAGTACCTCAGTCCCACCCTGGCTTTCTTGGAACTGGAGAGACGCACAGATGAGAAAGAAATCCAGCTGCAAGACAGTGATTTGCCAAGTACCAGCTTTAAAAATCAAGATGAAAGAGACGCTGAAGAGGAAGGATGGGCGTCTGTGATTCGGTTAAAGCCAAGGTCAGGTCAAGGGCTGAGGGAGGTCGGAGAGGAAAGGGCGGTTACAGCAAAACTAGAGTTATCTGAAAATGCATCATGCTGTATTAATACCCTTGAGCCTGAGAAAGGTGGAGACATTCAGCCTGTTTACTCAAACAAGCCCTCCTATCAAAATCACCAGGTTACAAGTGCAATAACATATAAGATATCTCCTCCTACAACGGTTCAAAGTCAAACATCATCCACATCTGGAGAAAGTTCTGCAAAAAAGGAAGAATTTGTTGACACTTCCCCAAACCAAGACGAAGCAGCAGAGGGAGATAAAAGAGAAGAGGAGGAAATGTTTTTGCTGGCAGCTCAACTGCAAGAATGTGGAGAGCCGAAGGACTCTGGAGCACATCTGTCAAAGGGTCAATGTTTGGAAGACGAGCTAACAGAAGATTCAGACAGCGTTCTGATCCAGAGGCCGTACCTGTGCAGGAGGTGTGACCGAGTCTTCCAGCACCTGGAGAGCTACGTGGTGCACCTGAAGGAGCACAAACAGTACTGGTGCTTGGTTTGTGGGAAGGGCTTTTCCCAGAGGAGTAATCTGACCCGGCACATACGCGTTCACACCGGGGTCAAGCCATTTCGATGCCCCCTGTGTCACAAGACATTCTCCCAGAGGGCTACGTTGCAAGACCACCTCAATCTGCACACAGGCGATAAGCCCCATAAGTGTAGATACTGTGCTGTGCACTTTGCTCACAAACCAGGCCTCAGGCGCCACCTGAAGGACATCCATGGTAAGAGTAGCCTGCAAAACATGCTTGAGGAGGCCATGGGCTGTTGAAAAAGGAACAATGTTAGCACAAATTCAGTTAGTATGGTCTTTATAGTGGTTTTGAGTCCATATATATTTGTCAAACAGGGTGCCAAAAGCACAATCAGCCATATGATACATATTATCCTGATTATATTAAATATTAAAGATAATATTTAAAATGTCAATATATATTTTAGTTGAGATAATCTTGCTACACCATTGTCTTCAATCCCACTGACTGCAATATAGCATTTGGACTTTTGAAGATTAGTTGTTATGAAATGTGACTGTAGTTCTGTTCTTTCAAGTGCAAGTTTGGCACTTCATAATTTTCTTTCAAATTAAAATCATAATTATCATCAGGCTGATGAAAAGCAGTGAGGGTCCTTACAGTATGTGCCCTCTGCAGTGTGTTTGATCTCTGCCGGTACAAATCATTAAATTAAGTCAATCAGCATGCAATCTAAAACCGTCATTAGGCTTAATCATCTGCCATGTATGGGCAATGCAATCTCATTCGCAATCTCATCCGCAGTTCAATCTTTCCAGCACCTTTATAGTGCTCCTCTATCCCATCTACAAAAAACAATTATGCCTTACGAAGAAGATAAGCATGAATTAACTATGTAAGCTATAGGAGAGATAATATTATGACTGAAAATGTAATTACAGTGAACACTTATGCACAAAGTCTGGAGATAACGGTTCACTTAATAGAATAAATTAAAAACATTTAAACCTTTTGAAAGACTATTATGCAGTTTTTGTTGTTGTTGATGGAATTAACACTGAATTCTGCCTGTTTCAAATTGAGGCTAGGTTTCACAGACAGCCACTGGTTCTCCATTTGACCCGACTGAAATTCATCACAGATCGCTGAGCATTAAGTGAGTGGTTTCTCCCGCATGGCAGAGAGGGTTTCCATGCTCTCTCGCTCCATTCTTTCCCTTCGCAGCTCTCTCTTTCTCCTTCGGCCCAGATATATAGTCGTCACTCATCTCAGTGAATGGAACAGTTTCCCTTCCTCAGGGCATCCGAGGCGCCGCTGGCTTGAAATGTGTGAGTATGGACGCAGACAAATGATTAATGCATGGTGGAGTGTGTATTCAATGCAGAAAGTAATCTGACTCTTTGTGTGCGTGACTAAGCAAGAGACAATACAGAAATAAAGACAAAAATATACCAAAGCATGTGTTTCCCCTTGCATTAAAATATAGCTTCCTCAGAACGAAGTCCAGTCAACCAACTTCCTCAAATGTAGACATTTACCATTTTTTTTATTTTAGGAAATGTCATCAAAGTGGAATCAACCAGACAAAGATACTTAATTTGCACACCCAGTCTCACTGTGGAATTTGGGGCACCTCCATTATGAATGAGTGACAAAGGTATAAAATAGCAGTGGTAGATACAGAGACAGGGATGAAAAGAGTTATACAAGTGGTAAGGATATTGAAAAGAGCCATTTTCTGGTGAATATATATGCATGTCCATTTGCACTGAAATATCATGGAATTATTTATTTGGTAAATAAAGCTTACAATATTTCAGTCACATTTATTTTTTTACTTTTCACAAGCTGAAAAGCACAATCAACCCGTGTTAATATTGAGATAATGAACCATCTAATCTTAAACCTAAGATATTGTATTCATCCCAGAAACAAACATTTTACGATATATTTGGTCAAAAACTAAAGTATCATATAGATTTAAATATTGCCCTGCTTTCTAACTACATAAAATTCATTCTTGGGGCACCTTTTGGTGAGCATTTCATTCAACTGCAGACAAGATATTTCACTAAAAAAACACAAATTTCAAACTGCTGGTGGCACTAATGGAAAGATATAGGTCAACATCATTTTGACTTGAATATCTGCCAAAACTTTCATGATAATCCATCCAAATTATATTTCAGTCCCAACATATGGATACAGATATTGACAATATGCCATTATTGCCATTGTTGTGGTTAAATATAAGCCAAGATTATAGCTAACTAGGTTGTAAGAGTGTAACACATCAAAGCTTTAGAAGTCGTCATGTTTAGATCTTTTATATTAAGCATATAAAGGAAATTACAGTGTGTAATCATTGACAAAATGGTTTTGTTTACTTTGCTGTAAAAGAAGCTCATAACTCACTAAATGCATGTGGTTAAGGGGGAGTTTTGAAATCACTGTCATCTTTTCAATGAACAAACACTTCGAAGTTACTGCATGCAGCTGTCTAGTTTTTCCACTAATTATTGTATTTCCAGGAAGTTGTCATTTGACACAGACGGACAAAAAGACAGCAATTGTTCTAATTCTGTATTGAACAGTGTCTCTATTATAACCAGGCCCCTCAAGCTTTGTTACTGTGTTACTTTAAATATTGTATGATTAAAGACAAGGTGTTAAACATTAATTTGTGTTGCAGGATTATTTAAAAGTGTTCTGTCCTGCTGATCTAACTCCTTATATCACTGACAGCTCACTTACCCATCTGTTGTGAACAGCTCACTGAAGATCATAAGTCACATATAAATAAAGCAGGCAAATAAAGTATCACTGTTTAATTTACAGTAATCCAGACTCATTATGTAACTGAGTTTGGGCCTCCTGCAGTGCCAAATGCACCACTTGTTACCACGGAGACAGCCTGTTCAAATTTCACCAACTAACATTTTGAAGCAAACAGCTGTGCAAGCTACACAGCTATAATGTAGCACATATATCTTGCAAAGATGTATCATATATGGTAAATTACGCAGAAATTATCACATTACTGATATCCATTGACACATTATGAGACCCCCTGCCCCTGGGCACAGACATGTAACAGACCCCCACCCACCATGTCTTCATGGAAACAGACAACCAAACTCAAAGACTCTACTTTAGGTTATTGTGTGTCCCGTTGTTATTGTTTTGTATCTATTTGGAGTTGTTTTCTGTTTCTTTGTGATTGGTTTTAATCCATTTGAAGTTGTTTTATGTCCCTTTGTTGTAATTTTGCATATCTGGGATTGTTTTAAATGTAGGCTTATAATTGTCTCTTTGTTAGGGTTTTTTCTTGTTTTACTCACTATGTGTCTCTCAATAGTGGTTTCCTTTCTATGTGGACGTGTTTTTGTCTACAGTTGTTTTGGGTCTTTTGTAATAGTGTTGTGTTTTGATTATCGTTACAATTTGTCTGGGAAACCGAGGTCAAGCATGTTTTTTCTTCCACTTCTCCACTTCTCTAAATGCAGGGCAGCACGAAAGCGAGCGGGAACTTCTTGTATTTGTGTGTGTGTGTGTGTGTGTGTGTGTGTGTGTGTGTGTGTGTGTGTGTGTGTGTGTGTGTGTGTGTGTGTGTGTGTGTGTGTTTAACCATAGACTATAGGTTTGAACTTCCTCTTGACAGGCGCACTTGTCGAAGCGCATCCTCTGTTCCTTTAAAAGCAGACAGCCCACGCCTCGAAAAGCGGCTTGTTCCGGCTTGCCCCTTTACATCTTTTTATCCTTGCTCACAATATTAAAATAGTGCCCACACGCAACTCTATCGAACATTTTACTCCAAAGCATTTTTGTTAAACTGTCGGAGTGAACATAACCGTGTCTCAGGCAGAGTATGCAGGATGCGTGTGCAGCAGGTCTCTGCCTGTGCAGCCCGGCGGTGAGGCTGAGGCGCAGTTCGGGCACCATCACCGGCGGAGCGATACCACCATCTCCTCTCAGCGCCGGTTCATCAGACGGAGAGAGTGAGGCTCACTGTACCTGAGAGAACCGTCATGAACCATCGAAAGGGGGGCAGAGGATCAAAACTAGACCAAGGCAGCTAATGCTTTGAGATGCAGAGGCATTTCGCTTCAACGTTAAGAATTGTCTCCCTGCTGCTGGCTTCTAACAACTGATAAAGATTTTTTTTTTAATTCTGATGCGCTTCTGTGGATGAATATGTGTATTCTGGTGCTGTGGTGTGCTGCGTGAGGTAAGTGACTTCTCCAGAGGTGCGCGCTACTTTTCTTCGTGATTTTGTTTGACGTGTGCAAAGCCTATGACATTTTTGTTTCAGAATAGCACTGTTTTCATGTTTATGTTTTCCTCAGGTGAAATAGGAAATAAATTAACTGCTGAAGATTTCCATAAATTACATAATTAAACCTAGAACTATTCGGCTACCAGCTCAATGTGAATTCCTGCAACTGAGGGAATAATATAAGAACGAAGGCGTGTTATATTTAAAATATGGGCCCATTGCTCACACTCAGATTCGCATGTGAACCAGGGTTATCTAGTAGAGGCAGTCAAGCTCTAAAGCAACACAATATTGTAGATATGATGGTGCAATGGTGGAGACTATTTATGTTACCCTCCAAAGTGATAATGGGATTTTGCACCAACCTTTGTACAACCCTTTTGCTCTCAAAGGGAATCCTGAGCCAAAGCAGAGGTGTTTACAACTCTAGTTGTTGCATATGACCAACTGTAGACTTGAGTCTGAAATGCAGCTCTGACATAAAGTTTGCAGCAGTCTGTCATGTTGGAGGTTACTCTATAACCTGCTGATTTGCAACTGTAAATGTAACTGGATACTCAAACAATATTATCCCTAGCTGCCTCAAAATAATATTGCATAACCCTGGCATCTGTTACTGTAGACATGTACATATATCTCACAGGAATAATAATGTATGCCAATAATATATGTTCTGTATAGTACAGTAGCTGGTGAGTTGCCCTGCCTACCATGCTCATACACGACCCCCACACTGTGATGACAGGCATAATGAATAAATAATCACTGACTCCCCCAATGTACTCTCAAAAACAAGTGAGCAGACATAAAAGAACTGTAGTAACCCTGTTATACATAATTTAATGAAACTCTCAAATATCACAGAAAAACAAGCTGCTCTTAATTATTCTTCCATACAAACAAAATTCAAAATGTGTGTTCCAAAATATGATTTATTTTGTTGCACACTGCTTGCATTCATGTTTGGTAATGAATACTCCCGAGTGTTCATTATACTGTAGATGGTGTGCCTGTTTAATATTTTTTTTAAAGTTTAACAAGCATCATCAGTGTTTAAGTTTAACTTTCTCTTTATACCATTAACCTGTTACCTTCCCTTTTAAACTGATAGGCGCTGCCTCTGATATTGAAAGCTGTTATACTTCTAAACAGACATTTCCTCTACAACAAAAAGCAGTATTGTTTCATTTGAGCTCAATGTGTATTATTCGTACCTTGCTTGACTTTAATGACAGAGATTTGTATCACTGTGGTGGGTGTGAAGTTTCACTCTTGTGCTTTACCCAGACAACCCAGACCCAGAGTTGTTCCCAGAAGGCTGATGAAGGCAATGAAATAAAGTTTATGTTTAAATTCTGGTTGCAGATCATGCTGTAGACGGGCCTGCCAGACACATTGAGTGGGAATTAAAAAGTGTATTAGCACATTTACAAGAGCGAGCGAAAAGTGAATCATGGAACTATTGAAATTGTTGAAATATCAAATGATACCTTGCTGTATATTTTAAAAATATTCAAATCTCAGTATTGGTTGCAGTAGTACTGTCTTAAATAATAGAATGGGACCTTTGTTTTGTCACAACCCAATATGAGGAATATTTTCTTTGGAATGATCTTATTTTTATAAATGTGTATCTCTGGTAAAAGTACCAACTGTTCCAGTGACATCACAAACCATACACACACACACACACACACACACACACACACACACACACACACACACACACACACACACACACACACTGAATGTTCTAAGCAAAGGGTCACAGAGACAGTGAGAAGGAGTCGTCATATTACTTCAGATTCCTTTCCTTCAGGTCAAGCTCATGCTCAGTAGTGGTGTCTGTCTCAGTGTTTTTTTTTGTATGCATGCAGGAGTAGCCAATCGTTTTTGGATGATTTTGAACATGACTTTTGGTACATTTGAAGATGCATGCTTGCTCTCCTCTTATTGTCGCTACTGGTTGTTGTTACAGCTTACATTTAGATTTATCTTTTGGCATGTTTTTGACTTTATTCGTCAGTTGACAGTTGATATTGACAGCAGAGAGAGAGTGAGGGACGATATGCAATACAGATCTTCATGTCACTATGTGTCTTACACTACTCAGGTATGACAACGCCTCAGACTTACAGCTGTCAGAACTAATATAAGATGTCAGTTTGAACATTTCACATTTTGTATACATGTTTTTGGCTTAAGGGGAGACACTACACGTGCTAGAGTACATGTTTTAACTTATAGGTAACATCATAAAGCTTCCCCAGTTGATTAAATATATTAATACATTTATTTTTGCATTACAAGTTTTATGAAATCTATAGACGTTACTGTAATAGAAAAACATAGTGAAAAAACACCTTGTGGTGAATTGCTGATGTTCTCTTGTAACTCTTACATTTCCCCAGTGCATTGAAAAAAACAATATTTTGCCTGTTTTGTCTCCAAACACTCTGCTTTCCACATAACACATGGACCCATTAGTCACCTTCTTTATTCAGATGCATGTGGCACTGATGTGTCTCTCCCTCTATGGGTACATTAGATTAACTGTGCCTGCTCTATATACACAGGGCCTACAGAAATACTGAACAACTGTTAAATGTCATGCCAGAGCCCAATCATAAATTGATGCTACACGGATTTTAAGTGTGACAACCCAAAACAGTCACATCCGTCCATCATACTGTACATTCCTTAGCTACAACTTCCAACCATAACCTAAGCCTGCATGAGGGTGTGTACCAATTGGATGAGCCTCCCATTGGCCCGCTGCAATATTCTGCTTCCTTTTGTTGTTGGTGTTTTTTTAGGGTCCCAATTTCTAAGGAAGACAGCGATGACTCTACTAGATATTTTGCAGACACTAGTGGTTTAAGCCTGCACCAGTTTTGATATATTTCTTCCCCGACCTTTCGCTGGCAATGTGACCTTTACCCTTTACCTTTACCCTAAAAAATAAATTGATGGATGTCCCAAACATCTTACTATTGTGTTCTCACCTCAATATTCTGAGAACAGATATTTAAAGCAATCTTTCTATATCAGTCTGTCTGTCTGTCTCGTTATGACACATGCCAAAGGAAACTCCAGATGCCCTCCCCCCATACAGAAGGGGCTAAGCGAGGACTCAGTGTCCTGCGCCAGATGATAGCTGGCCAACTGTTGGCTGTAAAGACACAATGTACTTCTCATCCCTCTCTCAGTAAAGTGGGTGCCACCGCAGCCTTCTTCCAACAGTTTAAGGGGAAACTTTGCTCCTAAAAGTGGACGCTTAAAGTGCTGGTTCTTTTTCGATAGCACGTCCTAAAGTTTTCCCACACTACAAACCAGTTCAGGCAGAGTAACAGGCAAGGACCAGTTGGAAAGAAAAAAAACAGAGCTCAAAGGTCGATTTTCGTGTTTAAAAAAACAGCCAGGGAGAAAAAGAGTCTGATGAGGAAGTTGAGTTCTCCCGTGATAATCCTGAACGCCCACTGCTCCCTGTCACAAGACTTGTTCATGACTATGGGGGCTGTGCATACACACACAAGTCATTGGTCCATTCATGCAAGTAATGGAAGTCTTGTGTACATCATGATATTATGGACTCTCCATGTGCTGTGATGTACTTATGCATAATGAAGGTCACTTTGGTGTGCAGGCTTGAATCCAGCCATGTGTGCAGGAGCCATTTTTGCACTGCCAGTAAAAAACAGGATGCAGCAGTTGCTCAGAGCAGGAACAGGTGGCTGTCACTGTAAGTACAGCTAGTATATCATGGTGAACAGTTGCACTCATAGTTTGCACCCCTTCCTAATCTGCACATACACAGGAGGAGAGATTTATCCAGGCTCTGGCACCAAGATAAAACTCCCCACCTCCACCATCGTCCCCAAACGTTCTGCTGAACCCTGAGTGTCGCCTCACTCTTCCTCAGACGTTGGACCAGGAGCTTGCAATCTACTATAGCCGCAATCTGTGTTATATTATATTCGGGCTCCTTGCAGAAGGAAATATGACGCGCGAGGACAGAGTGGAGCCTTCCACGCGGCCAAGGGGGCAACCCGGGCACCGCGCGCTGCGGACGGTTTGGAAGGTGCGTAAATGGCACAAAGTCACATATGAGTAAAATCTAAATACAATACATTATGTGGTGAAGCTCAGAGTGCAATCTGTTGTTTATTATGGCGTATAGGGCGAGCGTAATGCGCACAGATCATCTTTCCCTTTCCACGAGGCTGGTAGTGTGCATATTGTATTTGATCTGATATTTTGCTTGCCATCGAAGCTTGTTTTTTAAGGTCAGAAAAAATCAAGAAAACTTGGTGGAACCTTTTTCGTCAATGTTCCAGATACTGTATGCAGTTCGTTTTATTTCATTGGGACCTGGAAACACAGTGTGTACAGTACACACAAATACATACTTTTATATATATCATTTTTTTAACACATGCTTGTTGCAGCATATTTTCAAAACTGATCAAGCCAGGTAGTTCATTTCTTTATTCTCTCTAATATCCTTTATTTGTACTGATTGTGTTTGTGTGTGTTACTTTACTGTATTCTCTAAACCTCTTTGAATAGCCTTTGTTTCCAGTAAATGAAGGCACCTGTTCTGTGAGAGCGCCAGCTGTTATTTTGGAGAACAGTTTGAACAGACTCTAAAGCAACAGGTGCTGGCTGTCTGTACAAGGCTTCAAAAACACTTTGCATAGTCAGAAGGATGATTTAAAAAAATAAATCGCTTTTAGTTAATTGGATAATGCATCAAGTAGCACTAATGAGGTTGCAATATTGTATTTGACACTTTGACAATAAGAACCCTTGCTGGTATGAAATGTTTTCAAAAAGTGGAATCATTTAGACTGAAGGGACCAGAATTCAAGAAGTCTACATTTCAAATAGAGCAGATTTAGACCTTATGATGTTTGTCTCACACCTATCTGTTCATTGTTCTATTCAGTTACAGGCTCCATTTTTATCATACCTTTTTTTCTTTTTTACTCCTCCACTTTGCTTTTCATCCTATCTGCAATCCTTTCTTTGGCTCTAAGACACAATAATTTATATAGCAATGCAAAATTATTTGTCTGTTCCTTTATGGATGTTTAATTTTGAGGCTATAATAAATAAGTAGAGTTGTTTTTCTTTATTTCAGATATATATGTCTCACCGTGTAGCATTGTGCCAGTCTATGACAACTGAGAGTTAGTTGTACTAAAACAGGACACTGCGGATCCTATCTCTGTTTTCTTTAGTCACATTTAATGAATATTTTAGAGCAAAAGTATTGTGCTTTTATAAAGCTGTGGTGGCTGGCTACAAATATTTGCTCAAGCAGCTGCATCTCCAAACAGAGAGCAAATGTACATACTTAAGGGCTCTTAAACAATAGAATGGTGAAGGCTATTTTTTTGAATATCAGAAAGTAATGGTTTTATTTTTTTGGTGTACCTATAGTTGAAGTTATGGTATTATAATGACAATAATAATAATAATAATAATAATAATAATAATAATAATAATAATAGTAATAATAATGATAATAATAATAATGACTGGCACGCTATAATCATTCTTATGTTGAGTCATACCCTGTGGGGGATTATCTATTGTAGTGCTGAAACAGTTAGTCAATAATACTTTTTTTGTAATAATACTAGTGGCAGAGAGTTTTCTTAAATGTATCAGGCCTTTTACTATCTCTTGTCCATAAGGAAATCTTTAATGAAATGCATAAGTTGCATCTCTAAGGCCCTTCAGATGTTTTTCCAGTATTGTGACAAAATGTGTCTCTTCAAAATGGCTGCTATAACTTCATGTGCTGTTCTTCACAGTCATCATCGGCGAGCGGGAGCTGTTGTCAGGGCTCGTTGACATGCGTTCCCCCTGAGCTCGGCGGAGCCCCCCTCGGTGGTGTGGTGGAAGGATGCCAGTGCAGGCGGCCCAGTGGACGGAGTTCCTGTCCTGTCCCATCTGCTACAATGAGTTTGACAGCAACGGCCACCAGCCCATCAGCCTGGGCTGCTCCCACACGGTATGTAAGACCTGCCTCCACAAGCTGCACCGCAAGGCCTGCCCCTTCGACCAGACCCCCATCAGCACTGACATCGACCTGCTGCCGGTCAACTGTGCCCTGCTGCAGCTGGTTGGAGCTCAGGTGAGTCAAAAAATAAAGGCATGTTTGTGTCAAAACTTGTGACATGTTTGTGTGTTTTTGAGTGCTCATGATGTGTTTTATTTAGGTCCCAGATGTGCAACCGGTGAGCCTGAACAGTGCAGCAGAAGTTGAGAACTATGAGGCGTGCAAGGTGTGCGTTGAAGAGCTGGCTCTCTACCTGAAACCCATCAGCGGAGCAAAAGGTATATGTGTGTGCATATCCGTTTTTGATGGCACATTTGAGTTGAATGTTTGTGGACATCTATAAAATGAAAATCTTGATGATAAATGTGCGTGGGCTACACTTCGCAACTTGGCATTTATCCTTCTCACACTTCTCATGACGCCTGAAAGCTGTGCTTTTATGGAACTGAGGAAAAATACAGCTTTCTGTGAAATCAGAAAATAAAGACGAACCTCGTTGAAAATGACCAGCGGTTTCCAATTCTGTGACGTCGCTGTGCATCATCATTGTCGAATTTAATAATTTGGACAATTCTTATCATGTACAGTGCTAGTTTACAAAGAAGCATAATGTAAAGTAAACTTTCCAGGCCTATCCATTCACTGAAGACTCCTCTGAAGCCATCTACATAGCTGGTTGTAAAAGAGTTAAATACAGAGAAAATCAATTCAATAAAAAGATGACTGATAACTACAGTAATAGCCTCATTTTTTTTACCACAGAACTGTCACCTTCTGCAGGTGTGGCGACTCTGAGTCCCAGCGTGCTCAGCCGGCCGATGCAGAGGAAGCTGGTGACCTTGGTGAACTGCCAGCTGGTGGAGGAGGAGGGCCGTGTGCGGGCGGTGCGGGCCGGCCGGTCGCTGGGAGAACGGACCGTAACCGAGCTCATCCTCCAGCACCAGAACCCCCAGCAGCTCTCTGCCAACCTCTGGGCAGCGGTGAGGGCGCGGGGCTGCCAGTTCCTGGGTCCTGGTAGGTTTGCATAATCATACAGAATACATACAGTACATCAGTGATATAAACATCATGCTCCATATAGATTTGTTTAGCAAGGGAATATGTGTCATTTCTAAGACATTTAATGCTATTTTAGGCAGATAGAATGTGTTAGTAGATCCAAAGGACACTTTTGTTAGCCTTTTGAAAGTAAGGATTAAGCATTTGCATCTTGCCTTTTAGCTATCACAAACTAGAACTTTGAAACACATTTTAAAGGTGACTAATTGGAGGTTTTTTAAGCACTTTGATTTTAAAGGGTTGCCTTGATGTTCACTTTTATAATGAATAACCTGTTTATTGCTATAGAACAATTAAGTATACTCTTGCTTTTATTGCTGCTACCAAAATAAACCTGTAGGATTTATGACTGCTTTTTTGCAGTTTGGTGTAAATTCAGTTGACGGGACTCATTGTGTCCCTTCTGAATTTCCTCATTAGATAGCATCATAAAACAGACTGCTGGTGCTGGTACCCGGTGTCCTGTGATGATTACTCATAGGGCAGATTCTGATTTTCATCATGATAACAGAATGAGTTCACTTGAGAGTCTGAGGACAGCTCACCAGCTCTAACAACGTCTTTGTAGTACAATTAAATGCGTTGTTTGTTTGAATCTTTAGTTAAAAAATGTGCATTCTTTCCTGCTCCCACCATCCCCACCCCTTGTTGTCTTCCCGTTCTATTGTTCCTCCCCAGCTATGCAAGAAGATGCTCTGAAACTAGTTTTACTGGCTCTGGAGGACGGCTCAGCTTTGTCCAGGAAGGTGTTAGTTTTGTTTGTAGTTCAAAAGCTCGAGGCTCGCTTCCCCCAGGCCTCCAAAACCAGCATAGGGCACGTGGTGCAGCTTCTCTACAGGGCCTCCTGCTTCAAGGTACTGGCAACATGATTGAATATACACACATTCACACCAAACACATACATACATGTATGTGCATTTGCAAGGACATGTGAGCAAGCTGCACAAATTCTTTATTAACTAAATAAAAATCAATTATTCCTGTTCTTATCTGCGTCAAACTGAACAAAAGATCCTCAGTTTGCTGCGGTCCAAAGAACCCAAGACATAATAAATTACCTCATTAAAACAAGGATATTTAAATAGATCCTCATTTATAACTACATATTATTACTGCAGAGATAGTTCTCCATATAACAGTATAATTTGTACATGTCAGCCTTTCCATAACATTTATTCTGGTCAGTTTAAGTAAACTATTTCCACCTATTTCTAACTAGTCAAATAAATAAGTTGTTTTTTAGTGTCTGCTTTGGTAATCCCCTTTCAGCTGTGCATTGAGCTCCACTGTAACTTAACCCTGTCTGACATTTAAGTATTATTACTCCCTAAAAGGGTTGCCCAAACTACAAATATCTTATATTACATATCGGATATGGGGGTCTGTGTATGTTACTCTGTGCATGCGTGTATTTATGTGCGTGCTATCTGATGACAGACATTGCTGGTAGGGCAGAAATACCAGCTATCTGCTTCTGATGTATCAGCGGTCTATATTTGCCCTCACTCTTACCCGCTTTGAAAGACAGAGACAGACAGCTCAGAGATGCAGAGGAAGATAAATCAAAGTGCAGGAACAGAGAGAAAACAGACAAGAGGAAGGACAGCAGCATGAGCTCCAATAATGATGAAATCTGATTCAGTTTGATTATACCTTTGACCCACCAGCACTGCATAATTGTAAGAAACACGGCTGGTTGTGTGTAGGTGTCTTATGATGATTACTCATAGGGCAGATTCTGAGAAGGGGAAATCCCTTTCCATGATCTGAAATGAGTTTACAAGTCTGAAGACCCCACATACTTACTGGTTGGCAAATTGAAAACATTGAACTGCCAAAATACACACGGTAGTTGCGAATTAGTCTTAGTTTAAATTCTTCCTTATGTTTCTCGACACTTTCTGCCTCTGAATTCCTCCTTCTTTCTTATTCCCTCTATGTCCATCGTCTGTCAGGTGACTAAGCGGGATGAAGACTCCTCGCTGATGCAGCTGAAAGAAGAGTTCCGAACGTACGAGGCTCTCCGGAGAGAACATGACGCTCAGATCGTCCACATCGCCATGGAGGCGGGACTACGGATTTCCCCCGAGCAGTGGTCCTCTCTGTTGTATGGAGACTTGGTCCATAAATCACATATGCAGTCCATTATAGACAAGGTACCAGTATGATTCATATGCCTATCAACTTTCTGCTTTCATTATTAAACCCACTTTTCAAATTTCAAATGGTGGGTATAACAAGTCTCTGGCGAACAGAAACAGGAGAAATACATTAATCTTATTATTTTTAAAGACCCACTCTCTTCTTCTATCCTCTGCTTCAGTTGCAGTCTCCGGAGTCATTTGCAAAGAGCGTTCAGGAACTGACGATCGTACTTCAGAGGACAGGGGACCCCGCCAACCTCACAAACCTTAGACCGCACCTAGAGCTGCTCGCCAACATAGACCACAACCCAGGTACGTCACTTTGTTTATCAGCATTCACCTGAATGAATGCTAATGACTCTGAGTGATTCATACGCTTGTTCATGTTCCAGAAGGATTAATGAGATTGAAAAGTGATGAATATAGGCCCCTGCTGGCAGTCATTTACCAAATTGCTAATTAAAAGCATAACAAAAGATTAAAACTGCACATTCATCTTGGGTTAAATATGTATTAAGGAAAGCACAACACAAATAAATGGTATAAATAGAAATTTAAATTATATGTGAAGTGTTTTAGTTTCAGTTGTACATGGTCCTTGACAACTAAACCAATAAACTAAAGCATTTTAAAATATTATGGCAATAGAAATGTATTGTGGTTTTCTGGTTAGTTGTTATGTTATCATTATTTACTTTGTCCCTTCTGGCAACATGACAAGGTACTCCTGAACTAATTATTCTTTTACGTAGCTTCTATTGTAAAATGTATAATGGGTGCAATAGCTTGAACCTGAAACCTACCTGAAATAAAGAACAGTTTATTACATTTTCATGCTAAAGTTAGCGTTTAGCTTAAAGCATCGCTCTGACTTAGAACAGCCTCACAGAGCTGCTAGCAATGGCTGAATACCCTCTTAGACTTTTTACATTTTTCTTTTAACATGTTATACCATTAAATATGTTATTTTCTTTTAATGTCAGTTTTTTTGGTTAGCATACGGTATAATGGCTACAATGACAAAAGTGCATTTGTCTTCATCCAAAAAACAAGTCAGCTAGAGAGTTTGCGCTAACCTAATACTTAAATTATTTTGAGCTTTGCTGCTATCTGAGTGTTTTTGAGAATCTCTTGTGAACAGAGTGTGTGTGTGATCTGTGTGCAGATGTCCCGGCACCATCATGGGAGGAGCTGGAAAGTGTGATGCTAGCTGTGAAGTTGGTGGTCCATGGACTTGTGGAATTCATACAGAACTTCAGCAAAAAGAGCCATGACACTCCACAGGTACACTGCCGAAAGGGAAATATTGGAAAATCTATTGATCTGAAGAAAATGTGTGCAATATTAAACATAACTTTTTCCAAGTGGAAAAAGGTCTAGAATAGTAAAGAAGAGAAGTGCTATTGCTCCATCCTGGCACCCTGGAAGGCCATTGAGCTGCAAGATAAGAAGTTCAGGGTCTAGCTGCACAGTTCCTTCAGGCTTCTAAAATAGTTAAAGCGACATTACCCTGCACTCCAGATATCACAGCATTAACATACCTAACATCAGATAATGCAGCTGCAAAGACAAAGCTGTTTTTTATATTGCATACAGTGTAGTGGAGTGAATAGAGGCTTTAACTCTTTTTTGGTTCATTATCATTGTTTATCATATACTGTACAGAGAGGTGTAAAAGCAAACTTTTAAATTGTGTAGGGCTGTGTATTGGCAGGGTTAGGGGTTAGGGTTTGGCAAACAATTGTTATACTGTAAGCAAGCAGATGTATTATGTTTTTAAAAAAAAACTAATTTTAGGAAAATTATTATAGTAATAAGAACACCCCATGATATGCCATCAAACTGAAGCATCACTAGTACTAATACTTTTTGTGTATTATTATCAAAGGAATTAACCTTTTCCTTTTCAAAAACTACAGTATAACACACTATTGGTTTCGTCATAAGCTCTGTAAACCAGGATATCTGTTTGTGTGTTTGCTTTGGAGCCAAGTAGTTTCAAAAATGGCAAAAACTAAACATTTGTTTTCCATCCAGAATGCACCGTAGAGGAAAGTCTCATGATCATGTTTCATTTAGTTTTATGGTGTTACGCAGCAAATCCTTTGTAGTATGCCGCCACCTGTTTGTCGGCTTTGACTGTGACATCCGTTTGACATCTGTTGGGACATTTTGCGACTTTTCCATTTCAACATCTACTACCATAATGTATGAAATTACCAACAACAGTATATAAAAACTGTTAAGACTAAACTTTAACTTCTTGATGTTGACATTCATTTTACACCTATAACTGATTATGTTGTATGATCGCAGTTTACAATTTCAGATTTGGAATCATATGTACATTTTAGCCTTTTTTATTTTTAGATTTAGAATCAATAGTTGGCTATTAATTTAAATTGTATCTGTGCATTTCTCAGCCTCAGGCCAACAGCAAGTACAAGACCAGCATGTGCAGAGACCTCCGTCAGCAGGGAGGCTGTCCTAGAGGAACCAACTGTACTTTTGCACACACACAGGATGAACTGGAGAAGTAAGTGCTCACTCGCGTACACTCTGAAAGAGACTCAGTGTATTCCAGATAGAATAATTTGCATTAATAGAAAGATAAAAAGAGGAATGTTTCACAGAAGTCTGCTTGTTCAACCATAGCAGTTAGTATGCTTTATAGCTGCATCATGACATTGTATTGACTGAATTATCTGAACATGAAAAATATTCCCAAAGTCTCCCTTTTAAATTAGATTTTTCGGATTACAAGAGGTTCTCAGTGTACATATCAAATCACATGTTTATTAAGATGTTCTCTAAGCAAAACATAACCCTTTATTTTGTTCTTTCTTTCTCAGATTCAGACTGAGAAACAAGAAGAGCATCAGCTCTGGCCGTGCATTCCCTTTGTCTCCAGGGGTTATGGGTAAAACCTTCACCATGGAGGGCGGCATCCACGAAGAATTGTCTGCAGGCGTGGGGCAAGGGCTCCAAGACACAGGGGAGGACATGGCCTCCCTGACAGAGGGGGTGCCCTGCCTGACTCACCCACAACTGATCTCCAGAGGGGCTGACATGATGGAGGAAATAAAGAGGGCGGTGCCAAATGGATCCAATGGGGCTAATGGGTCCAACGGGGTATCCAGCAGAAACACGGGGTCAACTGAAAAGTACGGTTTTGTATCCACCCCCCCACCGTCGACAGGGGGGTCGCCAGTCTCTGGCACTGTTATTTTGGGGGTCGCGGGCTGAAAAGTTTGGGAACCCCTGCAATAGAGAAATGTTATTAAACAGTTTAAAATTCAACATTAAATAAATGGATAATAGCATGCAACATTTTTTTTTATTACAAAGCATATCGCATGACTAATTGAATTGAGTCTCATCATTTACATGTCACCTGATATCTGGATTTGCACACATGGGATATTTGCATATTGTGGCAGAAAAGGGATGGGAATCTATCTCCAACTCATCATAAGAGCCATTCATGTGTTCATTCTTTCTCTTTGTGTCACTCAGGAAGCCCATCTCCCCTCCCAGGACTCCGGTCAGCCACTCCTCAGCGTCATCTCCCTTGACAACAGCAGGGGGGCGGGGTGATGGTGGCGATTCTATGCCTAAACATGGTCAGTTTGTGCTGCGCGCATCACATCCTTCTGAGGCGTCAGAGCTGTACTATCAGGAGCCCCACTCTGCATATGACACGCCACATTATCAACCAACCTGTGAGTCCATTGTAAAGTGAAAGCTTGATTTAAAAAACGTTATTGTTGTCTTGGGAAAAAGTGGAAATGAATATTCTCTTCTCTTCCTTAATCTCCTCTCCTGTTCTTTTCTCTCCATCCTCTTCCTCTCCAGCAGGTTCCTACTACCAATCCTCTCTCCATCCTCCTCACAAACCCTGCATGGCTCGCTTCCTTCGATCCTCCAACGTCCCAGAATCCTCTCTCCCGCCCTCGATTGGCCCTCCGCCATCTTCCTACCCAAATGACCCACATGCACCACACCCACCTTCCTCCTCCTCTTCGGGCTTCGCTCCCCGAGATAGGATGGGACCTCCTGCCTTCCACCACCACCCGGGGCAGCCTCAGTACGGCCCTCTGGCTCCTGCTCACGGTGTTTATGCTCCGCTCTATGACAGCAGGAGAGTCTGGAGGCCTCAGGTGAGCCCTCTGTTCATTTTCATGTAACTGTTAATTTGGTCATTATGTGACAACACCAGTAATGACGGTTATTATCTCTTACAGCTGTACCACAGGGAGGATGCCAGGAGCAACTCGCTGCCTCCGGAAGTGCTGCATTCCTCCGTCTACCAGCCTCCACTCAGGGAGAGATTCAACTCTCTAGACAGCAACTACTGCTCCGGAAGTGAACACCGTGCAGGGCTACACAGGGTGGGCAAAATAATGCACGTCTAGTAGCTATGGCAATGGGCTGTACCTGTTCCATATTGGCTGGAACATTTTGATTTTAGATAACAACACACCTAAGATTTAACTGCTGTTTTAGATTAAATACATATATAGATCTCACTCAACTAACTGTTGGTTAGTCTAAAGGGTCACCCATTTCTTTGAGTGACATTTAATCCAACCTTTCGTAGTACAGTAGGAGTGCAGGAAGTCACACCTTAAAAGACTGTGAATTTTAATTATGAATAATAGGGCACGCTATAAAAGAGATAATCTGCATTGAGCCATGTCATAATTAAAAGAATAATGCTCTCGACAAAGGTTTATATTATAATTCCTGTCTGTTTTCATTCCTAGATTTCCAGTGGAAAATCTGTATTAATCCATGTTGGCCTGTCATACATGCAACAGATTGAATGCTTCATTTTCCTCCACATTACCTTTTCCTTCAGTTTCTCCTTTTTACACCCACATAATTTATCTCACATCCACCTTCCCTTGCTAGCCACAGAGCTGCAGCTTCATCCTCCTCTGTAGTCCTCCCACTTCTCACCAAAATATGTTTCTGCCTCCCCCACTCTGTTCTGTTCTTCTCATTTCATCATATAGCATTACAGTTTCAGACTGACTGCTGCAGTACTACTGTACAGTATAGTCCAAAATACCCTTTATTTTAAGCTAAATGAGGTCCAAGTAAGGCATAATCTCTAGATATTTGCAGCGTGCATTTAATATTTTCTCCATTGTTCTGGAGAAAACAAACATCTGAAAATACCTTTACATTCAATTCAGTATAATAATATGTTCAACAAACCTTTTTGTGTCCACCACCTGTATGTACAGTATGCTGGGCGAGCCTTATGTTATACACTAAGCTAATGCAAATCCACTGATACCTACTATAATATCATTATTTTAATAAAGAGCTCTCTAGGATCTTGAGTGTTTTTTATTGGACAGCTTTATTGCTTCCACCCCCACATCTTCAGAAATCCTCCTCTGTCCGACCCTGAAGTCTAGACCTAAAACAAACATAAAATGCAATCAGAGCATATCAAGTTCGGAAAAGATTGAGGAAGATAGATAACAAATCTGATTTAACTGAAAACTTAAAGTACTGTTTAGTAATGCATATACCGGCAGTCTGATTTGGTTCTGAGTGGCTTTAGTGAGATGTGTTGGCTACCTGATTGCATCATCACTAAACTCAACATTTTTAAATATTATAATTTTGTCATTACAAGTATCTATTCTCTTTTTTCTTCCACACGCTTCCTGTTTTTTCAGGATTATGGCCGCGTTCCTTTCGGTTACGAGGATTTGTTCAGGAGGAAGCAGGAACAGTGGGCTCATCATCATCACCATCACAACGCCAACAGGCCCTCCCAGTCCTCCCCCATCTTCACCATCGATTTTGGTGCAGAGGTAAAGAGCAATAAAGAGATACGCCATATCTACACGCACAAAAGAGCATCACAGATTACAGTTGTGACAATTGCAATTCAAATGCCACCATGACCGGTTTGTTAATAGTATCAGTGCAGCCACCTGAGAGTAATGCCTTGATTTGTATATTACCATTTTAAAATATGTAAGATCGAATTCCTTTTCCAAAAGCGTGCGCCTCAGCTGTGCCCAATGCTATATAAGTGGGAGATAGTTGCTTAGCAACTGTGGAGGGAGATATTATAGCAATTCAAAACTGTGGCGTATGTGCATGTGTGGGGGTGTGTGTGAGAGAGAGAGAGGGAGAGAGAGAGAGGAAAGACTGTAACAAGCAGTGACTCAGACTTTCAGCGGAGTAAAGCTTTGTTTGAAAGCATGTCAGAGACGTCTTTAACATCCAGAGCTAATTAAAGAAACAAGGAATGTTTAAGTTTTTGCACCCTGATCTTGATTTCATTTGAATGACTTTGTTTGAAAAAACACTTAAAAAGAGCATCGGGAAAAGACTAACTATTTCTATTAAAGGTCCCATGTCATGCTTTTCTGGTTATTACCCGTCCCCTTGTGTGTTATGAAGGTTTTTATGCATGTAAACGGTCTGCAGAGTCAAAACCCTCAAAGTACAACCCTGTAGCGAGTAAAACTGTCATGCGTTACCCAGAACCAAATGGACCAATCCGTGGAGCCGTTACGTTACGTCCGCGGAGCCGTTACGTTAAGCCCCCGCTGATTGGACCAAATTGAACAATCCACGGACTTCCTCACACACACACTCAGTGCAGGCAGCTCTGCTGATTTCTCCTCCCTGGCTGCAGGATGATAACAGACAGTTAGGATCGCGGCAAAATTCTCTCTGCAGACCCATTCTCACAGCGTTTATCAACCTTTTTCTTATTCAATATCAAGCCCAGTTATTGTTTTTACTTCGGCTGTGACTTTGTGTGTGCTCAGGATGAGTTTGGATGTGTTTCGCTGTGTATCGCTAAACAAGGAAACCACACCTCCACGGAGCTCAGCGCGATTCACAACGTCCCGACCAATCAGAGCACACTGTGCTCACAGGGGGGGTGGGGGCTGGAGCTATTGGAGCTACAGTGAGCCGTTAAAGGCAGAGAATGAAATTCAGTGAATACACGTAGTTTACAGAGATGCTGTATGAGAAACCAAAGTGAGTTTGGAAAATTGCACAATATAAATCTATTCTAGTAGACCTCAACAATGGAATTATGATCAGTGGAAATGGCCATGACATGGGACCTTTAAATAATATCCGGTGCGTGCCACAAGAATGGCAGCAGAGTGGCAACAGGTCAGCACCGGCAGTGAGAGCGTAAAGGCTTACCTCTTATTTTCAATATACATTTAACATGTGACATTGACTACAATACACACTCATGTTCACATTTCTGTGCAATTTAGAGTCTGGAGCATAGATTTAAGCATATAAAAAACAGGCACACCCAACAGGAAGTTTGTGAAGGTTGCAGTGCCTGTTGCTTAGCCATTGTGCCAACACAACTGTCATTGTATAATTATATAACAATATATACAAATAAGATTACACAGCAAAACATTAAGACTTAATAGTGTCTTATTTATTGAGCAAACTGCAGAAGAAAAACAATTCTGGTAAATCATTTTCTAAGTTGATCTAAATAGTTTTTTCTCCTGTGTTTGTGACATGAGACCAGTTTCAACAAAGCTCTTGTCAGGATAATCTTCCTAAATTCCTTTTTTGTCGTCTGTGAAAACGGCTGAAAAAAAGATTTTTGGCAGAAGAAAAGAGAAAAGACCTTATCGAAAAATGTCGGTTAATGGTGCAATTGTGCCTCTTGTAGTTGAAGTGTGTATTACAACAGCATCAAGAATGATATTGCTATATTTATAAGAAAACTTTACGTGCCCAAACTTGTATTTACTTGTTTACACGGATGGAAAACAAATATATTAAAAAGTTTATCATTCCAAAACCTTCTGTTCCCCCTGCTCAACATTTTTAAACACAGACAGAACTTAAATCAGACTTCAAAATGGATCACCAGATTTTTTTTACTCACTTTTCTCTGTGTGTCTCACCTTCATTTTCCAATATCTCTCCCTCTTTCAGCATGTGGAGGGCAGCGGAGGTCAGTGCATGGGGTGCCGGTTCAGAGGCGAGGAGAGTTTAGCCCACTACTCCCCGTGGTCCTGCGGTAACATCGGCACCTGCCTCAGCCCCTTTGAGCCTGAAACACTCGCACACACATCAGCTCACTCCTGCTCAGAGCACTCGGTGAGACTCTTTCCGCAGACACACATCTGAAAACAATATTAAAATCTGCTGCATTTTATGGATGTTTTTCTAACAGCACCCATGTTGTTCTCATGCAGGAGTTGGACAGTAACGGAGGTGGAGGAGGTGGTGTAAGCAGTAGTGGTGTCGGGAAAAGATGGCTGCATTCGTTGGATCATTATCGGCGCATGAAAGACGAGGACCCGATCATTCCCTTTAGTGAGGGGCCCATTATCTCAAAGTGGGGGGCCATATCCAGGGCATCTCGCACGGGCTACCACACCACCGACCCCATCCAAGCCACGGTCTGCCAGGGGAGCGCCAACACCACACCCATTAACTTTAAAGGTTAGGAGCCATACGAATCCTTCAATGTTACAATTATAAATGTTTTTATTTGGATTTATTTATTGGATTTATGTTCTTTTTCTTGTTTATTGATATTTAGTCTTTGTTTCTAAGTAACTATTGTAATTGAAGTTGGATGTCAAACTGATGTACTTTTCCTTGTCTTACATGCATAAAACGTGACTCATATTTATGTATTTCTTTGATTTTTTTCGGTGTCCATTCTTAAAAAAAAGGCTTTGCTTTTCTCTCAAAGATTACAACCACCACCTGGATCACAGCGACTACAGGTGGAGCTCCAGAGGATCGGACTCTTCCAGCCACTCCAGTTTCCTAGAGAGGTATAACATGTTTACACACACTTTCATCTCTTTCTTAATTATCTTTTTTTTAGCATCTATCTCACCTTCAAGTCTTACATGTTGTTGATCTACACAGACAAACCAAATGGAAAGAAGTGGGAATTGAACAGGAAAACACTAAAATTGTTTAGGTTCTGCTTTCAAAGAATGATGTGAACATGACCGAGGTCATTTCACAGCATTGATTACATTTCTCCCACTCTGGTTACACATGGAAGTTGCTTCCTGATTGCTCTTAACACGTTTGTTCTCACTCGTCCTCTCTCATCCCTCTCTTCTATCTCATTGTGCTGCAGTGGTTTCCTCTCTGTGGTCGGACTAAATATAGCGCAGCCAGCTGGTTGGTAAAAAACCCTGGTCAGCAGAGAAAATAAGTCAGGAAAGCCCTCTGCATGACGTCAACATATTTTCCAATAGGCTACTTTATAGACCATTTTCATTTTAACACTTTAACTATTTATTTATATTTTACTTTACCATTATCTTTAACTTATTCCCAGGATTTTGATTCCAAGAAGCGTACACCTTTTGATGTACTGTATTTAATAAATCTAAAGGGAACATTTGTCTTTCTCTGTTTGTGTTTTAGCGAGCAGCTTTGTGCATCAGATCTTCACTGCCGTCGAACGTCCATTAGCAGTGGAGAGAAAATCGCGTCCGACCTTCAGGCACGTCAGTTCGCCTACAGCCGGGAGCGGGGCCGGGCCGAGAGCGAACCGGACCCGGAGCGAGACATCGAGCTCGAACTCTGCGCTCTAGACATGGAGGACTCAGAGATCAAGTCTCAGGTTGGTATCACTGTGTAAATATCACCAGTGAGATGCACCACATAGTAAAGTGACAAAAAAAAACATACACACTCTGTCTGCGATGTTGCTTGATTATTTCTGATGGTATATTTTTATTACAATTCATTCACTTCCTGTGTTTTTTTCTTTTTATATTTGCCTCTCAGGACTCTTTAGACCTGGCTGCCCTACGGTCTCAGGATGCTTCCCACTTCCTCCCTCCACCCTGCTCCTCTCCCCTCCTCTCTTCTCCTGTGGAGGAGCACTCCCAAACAGAAGGTCCTCTGACAGAAAAGATGGACACTCACCTGCTGAAAAAGATGGCCTTCAGGTGAATTACTGTAGTGATTGGAGTATCAAAGTGTCCTCTTTAGTCAGAATTGTCCTTGACTTTCAATTCTTTCTGCTTTCCAGGAAGTCTTTGTCTCCTGGAGGCTTGGTCTCAGGAGGTCTTGGCGTTGGCAAGCTAGTCCTGCGGACTGGATCTCCTCGACTGGGGGACACTTCCACCCGGGCTTGTCCTGAGACACCCGGGACAGAAATGCTGCTCAATAGAAGCTAAGGAGACACAAAGTCAGACATTGATCTGCGCCAAGCGAGAGCTGAGTGGCTATCAGATCCTGGTTAAAGGGAATACCATTAATTTCCAGCTTTTATCAATCATTCGCCTATACTGTATAAATGTGTGCTGCGACACATTGTAAAAGGCAACAGAAAACCATCCTGCCCCCTAGTTGGCTATTATTGGCAATATACAGCTCCATAAAGATATCAATGTTATACCCATGAAGGGCACAGATCCCCTCGCTGTAATGCTGAACTTTTCCATGTTTTCAGTTTCAACCACTTTTTCAAAAGGCTGGAGATTTCACAACATCTTCATCTCTTCCTTTACATTTGTTTGCCTGACACATGATTTAGTCTGTTGTCATTCAACTACGATTTTTTCATGACATTTCACAGTGTCCGTAACACAGCAAGAGCCACTCTTTTAACTTCAGGATTTGATTATTTGTTAATCCTCTACTTATTCTAACTTTTTTTACAAGTAGCATTGATTATCAACAATTTAACAAAACAGTAATTATGTATCCCTTTTTGACACCATGAATGAATATTTGACAATTATATTGAATTAGTATTGCTATATTTTTACTTTGTAATTCCATAAGCCAACGTACAATACGGAGAAAAGAGGGCACTGCCACTTAAACAAGCTCATTATTTTATGAGTCACAGGTGGAACCCTGAGTCATGTCATGATATCACACAACACAATCACAGTCATAACCTAATGTATTAATCACTGGAGGTAAGAAGGGAAGAAAACAAAACAAAGATTTGTGTCGATTTGTATACAGGCCACATTAACTCACAACAATCTTGTAAAACATCTATTGTTTTTCTCTTTTTTGCGTGTAGTGGTTTTAGCATTTAATACCACGGAAGCCTCACTGCTCTCCTTCTTTCTCTCACACACACATTCACACACAGTAGACACAAACATGCATTGCAGTGGCCTTCCTCTCCTTGGTGTTACATTGGGCTCTATGCTGTCAGACACCTGTCCTGTTTCAGAGGTGTTCCCTTGATCTCGATCTAAAAAACTGGAAATTCCAATTTTTTTGTAAGCTCATGGCATTTGGTGTGCTTTCCAATCTGGTCACCTTAACGTACACTGTAAACAATATTCAGAGGTCATGTTTTTAAACTGAAGCTTATGAAAGTGTGAAACACCACTTCTCGTGTTTCTTCACGCTGTATCTTTGTTTAACTTTTTTTAAAGCCTTTGGTTTCTTTTATTTAATGCATTGCTAACTTCTGTGAAGTTGTTTGCCGGCGTATTTTGTATCAGGATCTTTGTTACTCTTGTTTTGTTTGCTATATTTTACATCACAAAAAGACAAAATGTATCGTCTTGTCTGATGTATCTCTGTGTTTTGCCTGCCATTTAATGCATTACACTGTGTAGTTTACTGTCATTTTGTGCATTGTGGGTGATTTACATAAAGCCCAGCCCACCTGGACCCAGCCTACATATACAAGATTTAAAAGTCATGGGTTTTATAACACCTTTTTAAAAATCGTATAAGATTTGTAAAGGAAAAGAAGAATCGTTCCAGTTTCCAATCCCATTTTAGAGGATGGCAGAATGTCCGTACGTGTTAGGATTGCTTATCGAGTTTCAAGTTAAAACTTAATTAACCTGAGTAGAAAATGAAGTAGTGTTCCGGTTAACCTTTTGTTTTTTTTACGCTTATCTTCCAACCACACAGCGGGTAGATAGGGAATAATTGGAATGAACAATTTGGTGTAATACTCTATTGAAAAGTCCAATGTTCTGTATGGGTTTATTTCTGAGATGAAGTCCTGAAATTAGCTCAGCTACTGTCGCTCTGCATCTGTTTACAACTTCACCTCTGAAGTCATATAAGTGCCATGTCGTGTACAGTACCGTACAATCCCTGCTATTTTCCGACAGCTTTTCCTATCCCTCCAGTGTAAACTATGTGAGGAGGGAAAGGCTTAGTTGAGCACACTTCTTGTGTATTTCTGCTTTGTTCCATAAGAGGAGGCTAGATCCGTTCTCGTCTGAATCGCTCAGGGAAGACTTAACTTGCTCAGCTGCTTTTTTTTTTATATATTCATCGCTTAAATATTCTGTGGAAGTATTAACCTGGATTTCACTTGCTGATAAACCACCCTTCCATTCAAAGCATAAAGGTTACAGATAATATTGTTTGCCAGTGTTTACTTTGCTTTTGCCTCTCAGTATCAATATTGGCTTTGCTATTCCTGCACCCATGGGAAGGACTGGGCACTACTGTAAGTAAAAGCAGTATTGTGAGTATTGAAGTGATACACCCCGTTTCCATCAAAGTGTCCAGAGCACTGCTGTAGTGGTTATTTGCACTTCCTACCCATTTACTGCCAGCGTGTGCACTATGCCCCCACACCCAACTTTGCCTCCCCCCCATCAATCCATCCGCCCTGCATTCTGCTTCATGCATGCGATATAGTCCCTCTTGTGATGGCGGAGGAGTATTGATGATTCTGTAGTTGTGATACAACACACCCAGCACTGTAAGAGTTCTGCACATGCCCACTGTGTGGCCACGTCAAGTGCTGAAGTCTGCTTGCAGCATTTTACTCGTTTGCTCATGAAAATGAATTCTTGTTTGATAGAGATTATATTATGACTATTATTGTTATTACCACATTTGATTGGTGTTGTGGTATTTTTCCTTCTGGGCATAAGTCAGCTTCTTTGTTTTGAATTGAGAATTAGCTGAAGTTTTTTATTAGATAAAAAAGTGTCTCATTGTTCTATATTATATGGGGGAAAAGCCTGTTTGTTGATCGTGAGACATATGATGTTTTCTGACTATTCATGTCTGTATTAGACATTTTATTTGCAAATCTATTGTTCGATTGAAATGTAAATTAACTATGAGATGGTACACATCTGTCATTGTATACAGTCTGGCACCATCATTAGATGGACTTATATTATAGACGCTCATTTATACGACCTGTGATAATCAGATATATTTAAATGTTTAAATCTTTGGGGCAGTTGTGTAATGTTTCAGAATGAGGAAAATGTAAACTCCTTAAGAGACAGCATATCTTAAATGTCCCACTAATAAATAATACTGTTACGTATTCAATTTATTTCCTTGGAAATATCACATTGTCAAAGGAATCCCTTTTACTGACCTTATGGTAATGCAGATTGGAGTTAGTCAAACCTACGATGAGAATGATTTATGTGCTTTTTAATGATCGATGAAACTGTTTGAGTGTTGTTAACTGACTGAATATTCTGTGCATTTTATGGCTCATTCATCTGTATTACACTGAAGTACAGACAGCTTGGCCGAGCAGCATAAGGCTTCTGTGTTGCACTAAGAGATGGAAATATGGAAAGGCACATTAAATGCATGCCACAATAAACAAACAGAAAAACATGTTTTGTGTGGTTCCTGTCATTATTTGTTAATGTAGTACTATGATAGGAAGCGTGAGATAACACAACCAATTCATTTAACTTTAGCCAATCATTTAGATTTAAGCCAGGGTAGGCAGCATTTCTTTGGCATCATTAGCCTCATGTTACCTGGTCCAACTCTGACGACAGGCCCTAACAGGCTGGACAGGAAGGGCCAGCATGACCACAACACACTGAGAACAATGGCTGTGTTTCTCACATCTGACTACTGCGCAATACACTGCCTATACTGCAAACAATTATGTGGGTTCACATTACAGTTGGAAAATGCTGAAAGAATGCAGTGATTTTGTTTCCCTGAGAAATAATACAGGTATGAATGTTTAACTGTCTTGATTTTATTGACACAAACAATACATGGCCCATTAAAAGAGAAAAAACATAGAATCTCAGAACAAAAAGCACCTTCAACCACCTTTAACCAATCATCTGCCCTTATTATTACTATACCATAACTATATTTCCTATACGGTCTCTACTCCGTGAACGCTAAAAGTTCCTATTATTTTTCCAATATGTTTTATGAATTGGGTTTATTCATGTTCATAGAACAATTTAACTTTAAATACCCTTCTAAATGGGAACTATATGGACTTTTAGAAGATGCTCAATTCAATGCTCTTCCACCTTGGAAAAATATGTCTATGTCATTTAACAAATGAATATTATATAATTGCACTTTGACATTTAAAAATATATGACTTAGTAGAAGACTTGCACCTGCCTACTGCCGAGTTGTGACTCAATTTAGCCTTGGCACGAGGGACTACACAACTGCAACACAAGTTGAGGAGACTTAACACATTTCTGTTAAGTCTGTTATCTTTTTTTAACTACGACTTGTCTCTAGTCTCGAACTGATTTGAGAAGACATTCTGTCGGTGAGCATAACGTCGTTAGGTAATCCCATCACTTCCCCTCCCTCAGCACAGGCGACCGGGGCACTGACAGGCGCATGCGCAGTGCGGATGCCAGCGGGTTGGTTGCAGGTTGGTTGGGCTTGTGTTTACAGCTCGGCTGGATGCTGTTGGCTGCTGATGTTATTGGGAGAGTGCAATGTTGTGCCCACCGCCGTTGGAATAAATAAAACCGTGGGAATAAAGGTAAGCTGTTTCGCACTCGCACACGCACCGTCAACGTAAAATGTGTCTGTTTCTTCAGTTATGGAATCAAAAACTGTTTGTTGGCTGTAACTGCCAGTGTTGCTTGGCTAACAGGCGTTAGCTACCCATGCTACACACATTAATGGCCTGTTTCAAGGCTTCAGCGAGGGCCAGTCTGCGTGTTAATTCCCCAAATTACTGCGAACACCTTTACATAACACTTGGCTTTATAGTGACGGAACAGTTTCTCTAAATGGTTCCTGTTCAGTTCAATATGTCTGTCGGATTTAGAATAGGTGAATGCTGAGAAGCTGTATTTGCTAACGATAGGCAGGTTGGAAGGGCTAACTCGGGCAATAAGTTAACACAAGAGCTTGCTACAATAGGCTAGCCCAACGATATTGAGCAAAGGATATAACGTTTTATTGAATTATCTTAAAAAAAATCAGCTGTATACTTGGAAATGCATCGATGTCAGATGAGGCTTGACAGGCTGCATTGAAATTAGCAGGATTGCTTGTATCCAGATTAAGTGGTGTTCCGGTGACATGACAGAACTAACTCAAATAAACGAAGACTAACAATACTAGAGAAGCAGAGAATACTCTATATTGTTAAGCAACACATATGTCCTTTATGTTGGCATCCATATTTGTCACTGTTAATATTTTGGGTCACATGACAGCTGGATGTCATTCCAATTTGTTTTGTTTTTGACATACAGTGTTTGATAAGGCTGGCATAGTTTGATAACTGTATTGGGACTTCCTTTGGCATATTTACGTATTTAATAATTCTGCACAATCAACCAGTCTGTTTTGTATATAGTAAGTTCATTTGACATAGAGAGACACATATAATTAGAACATATCATGAAATTGCATTATAAAAGGCTGATTGCTCAATAGCTTGGTAAAGGCTATTCAATTGAGTGTTATGTTATTGATTATTTAACAATACAAGATAAAAACCAATCATGATATATACAGCAGGCTTTGACGCTAAAACTTGGTTTAAAATGAATACAGATGCTTAAAGGCGGTAATTTAACTTTTCATTTTAATCTTTCTTTTTGCTTTATTACAGTCTATGTTCTTAAGTCAAGTACTCTGGCACGTTGACCATTACATTCATACTGTTTCTTTGTAGTTGAAGTTCTGTTGTTGTCACATGACAGGGGAGGGACTGTTTTGAGAAGTTTGTGGTGATGTTTGCAATCTGTGACATGTCTGCTGAGAGACCCCATTGAAATGTTTTACCAGGCCCATTAGCAAAACTCTTTGTAATAACAAAAATCAATGCTGTTACAATCTAACAGTATATTTATGCGAGTAGAATATTGGTCATGTTATTAACTCCTTTTATATTTCAAGGATATCTTTTTTAATCTCACCTCTCTGACCCTGATTATAACATTTCAAAGGGTGTGCCATGCCAGGCGACGTTCTTCCTTACCTAAATCTGTGTTTGCACGGCTTCAGTCAATCGGTCAATGATAAGGCCTAGTGAAAGGTATGCCTACACAAAGTAAAATGTTGAGGAAGAATCCATTTGTACTGACTGATATTCCATATTTCTTAACAATCAAGTTACAGCAGCAAACTAGCTGTCAATAATGTGGCAATATTAGGCACATAGGCCAACTGTCACTTCATTTAACTGTTCCTGTTCCATTTTCTGAAACTCAGGTGTATTAAAGTAATGCAGTGGAAATATTCACAAACAAACACATAAACCACATTTTTGCTTTAATCAAACAATCAATACATTGACCAAAAGAAGGAAAATATAAGTGCTTCATCAGATATAAAAAAAATGTCAAAGACGACGTGAGTATAATATAATTTCCATCACATTTGGACAACATCCAATATGAAAAAATGCAAATCTCTAATATTGCAATAATTGTGTCAAAGTAGTCCCCAATACGATACAATGATAATGATTGTGCCATTATTTTCGTCTTAGGAAAAAAGAGCATACATTGTTATTGATATGATTAAAGTTATTATGGAAAGCAATTCTATAAATCAATTGAAAAGACCCAAGAATGTAGCTTGTCATTTAATTTCAGCATGTCAGCTTCCTCTCTGAAGTCAGCCATAATATGATAATAAATATATCTTCCTTTTTAAAAGCTACATCCAATGCCTGAAGCACTGTGCGTCCCCTTGTATCCCTCTGTTTATAGCTCGTTCTGTAATTGAGTTTGTACTGAGTCCTGAATGCTCTGAAGTCCCAACGACGCCCCTCAGATGCACCTGTCATTTGGGGAGCGGCTGGAGATTTAATGGCGGGGGGCTTCAAACAACTGTTGTGGATTTGTGTTTCTAAAGAGAGGAGATTAGGGTTGGCAGAAGTGTTTACAGACTGATTTTTTTCTAAATAATTATCTGTCAATTGAATACATGTAAAAGTATCTGGTACAGTTGATTAAGCCTGTTTTTTGGCCATGCTAAGGGAGTCGTTCTATACATTTCTGTGATTTGTTATGGAGTTCCTTCATTGTTAATTCAATAAAGCATCAGTTATGTGTAGGTCACCCAGTGTGAATGACCTTCTTAGATCAAAGTGTTGCATGTAGAATCTACTCAGTGTGTTCTACGGAGAATTGTCTTAAAAAAACAGCCTGATAATAATTCAGTTAAGAAAAGTCAATGTTTGCTTTAATGATCTTTAATGACATACCCTGAGACACTTAGTTAATAAAGCCTGTAATTACAGTGAATACATTTCCTTTTAATTATTCAGACCTCCAGTCATCTACCCTGGGGGGCGACAACTTTAATCAGTGTTATGAATCACTGACTGCTTAATCATTATTTTACCAATTCATTTTTTTATTGGTATGAAATAAATATTAGCTTTGTGTTGGTGTTGAGTTTTTACGATTTAACACATCAGAGATAATTCAGTCCTATCTTAGATCCTTCATGACCCACAGACTGTAGTGAGGTAGTTTATTCATAGATGCGTGTGTGTATACAGACTAAACGTAACACCCACAAATGTATTCTCACTCAGGGTTTTCACTTCCTTTCACAATAACATTGCTACTTCGTAGACTCACAGTCTGTCCCTTGATTTGACTTAAGGTCTATTGTAATATGGAAGAAGTCACAAGTAGGTCATGACTCATGGGGAAAGAATACTTTTAAATTGAGTTATTTGTATATTGAAAAATCATGACTCCCATGGCTGTTGGGCAATTGTTGTTCCTTTTTAAAAGTAAATATACTTCTATATGTTAACCATAACATTTACAGTAGTTGTTTGCCCAAATGACTCAACTACATTCATGTTGAATAGCAATTTTATTACTATGGTCATATCTGGAATTTTTGGTGGTACTTAGCTCTTATAGTTTTAGTTCCCAGAGTGTATAAAACAACTAAAATAAATCCACTCTTCCTTTTTTCAACCACATATGAACCAGGTATCAGTGACACTCATTTCAGTCCTGATTTCAGAAGGCCTAACAACTTTAATAACTATTTGTCTTTGAAACCAACTCACTAAAACACACAGGTGTCAAGTTTTCCTTAAAAACCTTTTCTCAATGTTTTTTTGTTAAGTATAAAACATGAAGATTACTTCCTGGGAAGCCAACTTGGAGTCTGTGCTCTGCTGTAGATCTGGAATTGAGGAGCTTAGTGAAGTCCATAGGGACTTGGCTTGGCAACTGGAAGGTCACCAGTTCAAGTCCCGGAAAGACCAAGTGCTACCGAGGTGTCCCTGAGCAAGGCACCGTTCCCTACACTGCTCCCCGGGCGCCGTACATGGCAATGGCAGCACACTGCTCCTAACACTAGGATGGGTCAAATGCAGAGAAACCATTTTGTTACATAGTACCTGTACTACGTAATGACAATAAGTTGAATCTTCTTATGGCTGATATAGATCATCTGATAAAAATAGTTTCATAACTGATACACAATAGCGTTGAACCTAAATGTACATTTATTGAATGCAGTTGTTGTCTGTATTGTCTCCGTTTACTTAAGTAGATCTGTATTCTGTCTGCAGTGTGCTTTATTTCTATACAATTACATTTGAAACAAATGTATCATTGTGTCTAAAAGAACCCCCAAAAACGTGGGTTTACTGCAATTAACAACAGCATGTATCGGGAGAAAGTCCTGGTTTCTAAAACATGAATATAAAAATATAATATGATTTTAAAAGAGATTTAATAAATGGTTTGCTCACTTCATTCAAATAAATGTGTATTACTTTCATTTGTTTTTCTTTCCTTTCGATTCAAAGTATTTGAAGATGTTTTATCTACATGTCAGAGACAGTTCTCACCTCAGTTGAATCTGAACCATATAGTCTCGTCTTCCCCCTGGTAGAAAATCCCTGCAAAGAAACAAGGTTTAACAAACTAATCATATTTCACTGATTCTTGAGAGTCGGGACAAAACATGTCCCACATAGACAAGTCTTATTTCAAAAATTAATTAATTAATAATGATTGACATACTCACAAAGTTAGATCTAAAGGAATTGTGAATACTGATGTTCTGTTTTAGCATAGATAATTACTTTTTTGAGGGATATTTGTTTAAATGTATGACCAGTGGTTAGACGGCCCATGTTATTTCTCTTGTCCTCAGCAAGAGGTCACAATATTCACCAGCCCCCAAAATCTTTAAAAACCTCTACAATTGTGAAAACATTTATATCAAATCAAACATAAGGGTTATGAATGTATAAAAAAATGCATGCCATGAACATCTAAAAATATGCTCCATAGAAATCTGCCTATCAAAGTTGTGTCCTCTGTTTCCGTCAACTCCGATTTTGTCATGATAAACCTCATTAAATCAGGCAATAGCATGGTCAGCTATATCCCTGAGGGTCCCTTTTCATTCCCCTGGCTGTGGTGAATACATCAATACCACATTGTCTGGTATGTTTGATCTTTTTTGATATTTTAGATGAACAATGTCAATTTTCCTATGGTCACAGCTGGAGCATGTCAACACCATCTCTCTGTTATGATACCTTTTAATAAACCATATTGGATTCAATGAAAGTATTTTATTGAGATTATGGAGACAGCTAGCAATAGCCAAAAAACTAGTTAGCTATCTGTGTTTTTTTCTGCAGAGGGAAAAAACATGCCATTTCGTCAACTCCGTCAGAGTCAACTCCGTCAGGTTTTATGTCTGACGGAGTTGACATATAAGCTGACGGAGTTGACAAATCCACCAATAACCGCTTAATGTGCCAATATTATACTATTTTCGAACATAGTAAAGGAATAGAATGTTTTAATGGCTGTGGCTTATCTCCCACTACTTCCACTGGACATTGATTTTGTCT